CAAACGGTTGACATACCGTTCACGAAGAAAAATCACAAGATACCATTGCACGCAGCCGTTGTTGCTTGGACCCGAGCTTATGATTACAGAGTCATCAAATACAATTGATCTTCAATATCAAAGACTCTCTGACATAATAAAAATCATGCCTTAAGGGTCATTACATCCATTAATACTTCATGTAGCGCGTAGTTATCTTGAACCAATCAGGCAATCTCGGGCCAACTTACTGTGTGCCAAGCTCACTCGCATTCAACCTCCCATATTCGATACAATTAAGAACTTCAATACATTACGACCAGATTACTCAATAGCTTGCTGACTAACGAACCACAATCATACATTCCTCAGGATCGTCCTTGCCTGCCGGCGAGCTCAGATCCTCTAGCAAAGGGTAACCAGACGGCCTACGCAATAAATGATCAAGATCGCTTGCATCTACCTCGTTGAGAAACGCTCGGACTGCAGGCTCCAGCTGTTCCCGATGCTGCCAGACTCGAGGGACTTCACGGAATTGCAGCTTGACGAGCTTCGCCATTCTGAGAACGTGCTTCCGCTCCAGCTTGTACTTGTAATCGCTGTTCCCGGACGCCGACTCGTGCTGCTTCCCCTTCCCTCGTCGTGGGCGGCTCACCTCGATTGCCTTCCCAAGCTTGAGGCCCATGTGCCCGAGCACAACGTTCATCACCGCCTTGAATTGGACGGGATCGAGTTAAGCTTTTCCCTCTTTGGGCGCCGGCAAATGGATCCGGAACATCTCGGAGACGGGCTTCTCCGACATCGCGGTCTTTGAACCGACCTGCCTAGGGCGACCTTTGAACAGGTCTGATCGCAATAGCCTGCCTTTGAGTCCGCCTGCAAGGAGCGAGCGCGTTTCACCGCCCACGTCAAACGCATGCGCCAGGCCCAAGTCCTTGAGCAGCCCTCGCGCGGTCTCCAACATCTTGACCTCGAGACTCTGGCGGGCCACCGCCCCCTCGTCGAGGAACCGCCCTGGAAGTAGCACCTTCAGCAGAAAGTCGAGCTTGTTTGAGAACGGGGGCTTGTACTCGGCCTTCGTCTCCTTGAAAAAGTGCTCGTCAAGGTCCCTGAGGCCGTAGAACTGGCAGGCCTCGTACCTGATCACCTCGACACTCTGCGAACCCGTGTCCCTCTTCGTGTCTCGCAACCTTCTCAACTCCTCAAACTCCGCCGCACTGATCGCCCTCGCGCCAATGATCTGTGACGCCTCTGCGTCTAGCCCTTTCCGCCTCTTACTCTTTTTCGAAAGCTCTTCGGGTTGCTCGACCTCCACCACATGGCCGGCTCGCGAGACTTGCAGCTGGAACTCGTGAAGCAGGCGCGCGTCCGACTTTCGCCGCTCCGCTTCCGTATGCGCGAACGTCCGGAAGAGGGGGCCGTCCTCAATCAACCGGACAACTTTGCCGGGGTCCTCGGTCCTTGACGCGACTCGCCTCCATGCAGCCGTCACTTCGCTGTTGCAGGCTTGCAGAAACTGCAGCGTCTCCGCCGTGGTCACGCGTTGTGGAGGGCCAAGAAATCCCTGCAATCAGGAACACAAAATGAGCGGATCGTCTTGCGCACTTACGCCACAGCCAGATGTCACCGTTCCATCAGAATTAGAGATCACCTAAGAGACTTAAAGAAGCTCATGTCGACCTCCGATCAAGAGACGGAATTAAGTCCCCGTAAAAGGACAGCAGCACTGCCTTCAAACGACTTCGAGACGTGCTTAGATATAAGCCTTTGCTCTCCTTAAGAATGTCCCATAATGCTCACACCATGCAGGCGTGAACGATGGGCAATAAAGCTTACCGTTTTAAAGCAATATGCACTCTGCAATAGCCAAAACGTCGGATTGGATTCAAGGCAGGCACGTGGAACTTGACTTCCCACCTTGAGTTGCTCACGACTGAGGCCACGGGAAGGCCCCACACCTGGCTGAGACGCAGGCGCCCGGCCGAGAGGGGAGTCGGCCGCAACTTGCTGGTCCAAGCGGTCGACATCGGCATCCTGGGGGCGGAAAGAAGAAACGGAAACGTCAACCTTTCGATGTTCGAGCACGCGTCTCAGACTTGAGCCTCGAAAAACCGCTCAGAGAAGCAATTGCACAAAAAGATAATGCATGGCTCGACGTGAGCAAACAGGATCCGGGAGTTCGTGTAACCAGATGAGGCAAATACCTGCGAAGCAGAGTCGTCGTCGTCGGCTTCCGGTGTCTGCGGCGCTGTGGGTGTCGTTCCCTGCGGAAAAAGACCCGTCACACTTCAGACAACGTACAGTATGCTGTTCGAGATTGGGGCACACACAACTTTTGTAGACCTTTCGTACTAATGTAGACTTGAGGCAGCTAGGTGAGTAGCAGCATTTGCTAATCTTGATTCTTTGGGCACTCGCTGAAAGGTTTTGCAGACCTGAAGCGAATCCCATCGAGCTTAAAGAGAGGTCAACGCCATCCTGATCAACAGAAACGCGGGTTGTGCTCAACAGAAAGGATGTGCACACTCAACAGCGGCGACGCAACTCAATTCCTGGAGACCTCAAAGTTGTTTTTTTTCCAAACGCAAAAGATCACGTGGCCTTCTCTTAGAGGGGTCCTTTAAGCTGCAGTCCTGAGCTTGGCAAATCCCGTACAGAGTTTGGGGCCTGGAGTTTGGGGCCTGGTCTGAGCCCTCCATCGAAAGTTCTGACGCTAGCAGATGCTGAACACAAAAGCTTTGCATTGGGGGGCGGATATCAGGTCTAGTTTGGCCCCCCAATCTGATGATCCTAAACAGATTCGCTCTCGAACGCTTGAGTTAGGGCCAAACGCAAGACGAGGTTTCTAGAAGACTCTTGGAGGACTCTTGCATCTTGATTGCTCAGACTGTGGACAGATCTAAGATCTTGAGCTCTCAAGTGCAATCTGCTCACCTGCTGTTCCGGAGTGCAGAGACGCGTGGCTGGGATCTCTTGCGCACAGTCGAGCATCACGGAGATGGACGACTGGACGAAACAATGAACCAGCGGACTCTCCGTTTTCCGCACCCGCAGCGTCGCCTGCCAGGCTGCCCGAGCCGTCGTGCTCTTCTTGCACATGTAGAGGAACTTGGTGTGGAACCAGGGAACGTCGAAATTCACCCCTGCCTCGACAGTGGGGCTGTACATGAGCAAGCGAACCTTCCAGTTTTCGGCAACGTTCTTCAGGAGAGCCGTCGTTTCGCCCCCGCTCAGGGCCTTATGGATGAGGATGTCTGTGTCTGCAAGCCCGAGCGAGTGCCGCGACATGACTTGGTCCCGGATGCGGTCCAGGACCTTTGCGGACATGCTGACGACGACCACGTTCTTGCCGGCTGCGAGATCCTCGACGATCCGATCCAACCACTTCTTCTCATCCTGACCGACACGAAACGTTAGAGGCACCTGCGCATAAAGCGGTACAAGAAATGAGCGCGCTGTGGGCTGAATGTATGTGAGAGAGCATTGCACACTGGCCCGTCCTTGATTCCAGAAGCGAACCTGCTGCGCTATGAAACACAACTTCCGTTGGTACTCAAGTGACGGTATGGCCGGGCCCCATAAGCGGTTCAAGAGGTGCTCTAAGGTGATCAACGCAACACATTTGCTTAGACGAACTCAAGGAAAGGGCCTGGCAGAAGGCCCGAGATCACTGATTCGTGGTTCCGCTCCGACCAAGGGAGGTGCACCAAGGGAGCGGCCAAAGCAAGGCATGCTACATTCTGGGCACTTCCAAGCGCACAGCATCCGAACGGCCAGAATTCAGCCGTATTGCGTTGAGAAGCGGTCACGCTAATCATATGGGATATTTCGAGGGGCTCACCGCTGCCCTTCTTGTGTTGATGATGAGCTTCCCGGGCACATGTGCAAGCCGGAAGAAGTCGTGCTCCCGCTGTCCGTATCCATCGTCCATGGCCAACACGCGCTTCGCCCGCTGCACAATCTCCAGGAACAGCTCACTGGTCTCCATCCCGTTCCTCACAGTCGCCGCGGAGAGGTGCGCGAGGATGCTCGCCACCTCGTCGAGGATCACGAGATCGAACGGGGCCACCTCGCCAATGCTGCCCCGCCGGAGCTTAAGGAGGCTGTCCACCTGAACCACGATTTCGGGAAAGTCCTTCCGAGACTGCAGGGCCGTTAGGAGGTTGTGCTTGTTGTCCGGATCCGGGAACCACACGTTTTTGTGATCGTAGTCCGCCTTCAGGTCGAGGTAATTTGCGGTGCGGGGAAAGCGCGCTTTGAGGTCTTGAGCCTGGGCCACTCGGTACGTGATCATGATCGACGTGTGGGCGCGGCCGCTTGCTTGCCAGAGCTCGTCCCCAACCGCCCCGCAGAACACCGTCTTGCCAGTGTTCACGCCCGACCGGATGCCGAGCAGGGGGAATCTGCCCTCGATCCACCTGCACGTGTCGACCACAGAGTTGTCAACACGACCTGACACACTCTAAGGCAAGAATTAGGCCAACGTTCTCAACAAAGGTTGGCTATGCAGTGACCTCTTGTATCGTACGTGTCGAATTCACCTGCAAGCAGCTCCGAATGGTAGGTAAGCGCTTGGAACTTTGTGTATACGGCCTGAGATCGAAAGCTTGCAGCCCTGCGCTGGTCTCAGAACAGACACGTGCCCATTAAATAATGGTCGTAAATGCCTTGAAAGGAGGACACGTGACAGAAGGACATTCGTCAGGTTTTGCATGCAGGCCTTGTGGCAAAGAAAGAAACCTTGGTGGGAGAAAGGAACCTGGCAGTAGGTGGGCGCCAAGGAGCGCCCGCTGATACAGCACGCAATCTTGAAAATAGACACACGGTACAAGAAAAGCTCCTTCTAAAGGTGAGCGTCCCGGAAGCGCCGCAAGTCTCGCAACAAGCCCCACGTTGTCCCCCATTTTCGCCACGTGGGTTTGCGGCCGAAACAAGATCTTGCCAACCTAGCAGATTCTGAAAGCTTGTCACATCACAATGCGTACGCACCTACTCATTTGGCGGTATTACTTACTCGTTGGCGATGGTGTTTAGCTTCATCAGATCGTCCGGCATCCTCCGCCCCGCTGCTACTTCGGCCACGAGCTCAGGGGTCGACGCGCCAGGGACACGCGTAAGGTGCTCCATGTCTACCTTGACGGCGCCCGTCTCGTACGAGATGTTGTCCTCGAACAGGTCCCCCAGGCAGTATGCCCTCTCGACACAGGGGACGTCCGAGTCCCCACCCTCGGTGTTTGGCTGAAACACAGAGCATAGATCTTGCCGTTTGGGTTGAGGTGACAGGTTAAATTCTGTCGGTTCTCGTGGATCCGACCCGTGTAGCACGGCTCTGCGCGATCGCTGTAGTTGTAGCGATCTGGGCCCTCCTCGTAAGCGCTAGGGTGCAAGCGCTCCCTGAGAAGCGCTAGCATGCGGGCCTTGACGAACTCCTCGTTCTTCGAGCTGCGCTCCGTGCCCCGTTCGGACATCATACGAGGGTTGTTGAACCTCTCGTGGAGCCTTTGGGGCACTTCGAATGGCAGCTTGACCTCGTCACGGGCCTGCAGCACAGCACGAAGACAGCTGGTCACGAGCGCAATCATGCCAAAACTAAGTCCCCTGTCAAAATGTGAGAAAGGAACGTCAAGACAATTGATCAAACAGAGGAAACCTTGCACTATCTTGCTGCGAAAAGCCGAGTGCATCAAAAGGCAACGATTCCACCAAGCTTCACAGCTGATAAATCGAAAACGAGGAGTGTGCCACAAGCAAAGTCCTTCATTCTGCAATTATGAAGGCCGCGCTTAAAGGAAACACTGCTCAGGCTCGCCGCAAAATGAACAGTTTGGCCATGAAGCCGAAAAACAAAGCGTGTACCAAGAAGCTGTGTATTACTTGTTTAAGAATCTAATGGGCCTTTTCTGGTACATCCTGCAGGTAGGGCCGGGCAGCCCATCAAGCGAAAAACCAGCAGTGTGTACCAAGAAACGGCGTATTACTTCTTGAAGAATCTAAAGGGCTTTTCTGGTACATCCTGCAGGGTATGGTCGGCCTTGCCCATCAAGCGCACAATCCGCCCCGTACCATGTAAGGCTGTATAACTCTTCAGAGAACTAAAAGGCCGTTTTCTGGTACACCTTTCAGGACGTGACCGACCTGGCGGGTGTGGGGCCTGGATGGCTTGCTCACCTCGACGGGCTCCAGCCAGGTCACCAGAGCATCCTTCCAGGAATGGGCCGGATCGATGCACGACAAGACGCTCTCCGGCTTCTCGATCTTGGCGCTCCCCGGCGTCCGCCACTCGCGGTCTTTCGAGTACACGTTCAGGTCTATGAGAGCCGCGACCGCGGGATCCCACGGGAGCAGCCTCTTCTTGAGGCGCCTCGCAAAGTGGAGAGCCCCCTCGGTGTTGGAGCCGAAGACGAGCTGACGGGGGGACAGCTGGTTGATGGTGAGGTGGAGGCTGAACTTGGTTTGACCGGGGCTTTCGAGCCAGATAAAGCTGCTCGGCTGCAGCTCATGGTCGTACTGTTCCTTGAACACAACAGCGGCCCACTTCTCGATGATCCGGATGACCTCCTCCCCCGTGTACCTCTCCCCACCCTCCACGACCTCCCCATCCGCCCCGGTCACCGGCTGACGCTTGAAGGGGAGCCCGTCCTTGCCGTCGAGGTCGAGGTAGGGCTTGCAGGGCTTCCCGTTCTGGATGATCTCCGTCACCGACCCGTGCCGCCCCTCCAGCTGCGACCGCGCCGTGTCCCAATCCGGATATGACGCAAAGCTGCGCCACGGGACCCTCACCCCTTTTTCGACCTTTCCGGACCACTTGTGCAGGACCACTTGCGCCTCGTGGTTTAGGAGCGCCGCCTCCTGCTGCATGAAGAACTTTGGGCCGGGAAGGCGGCCCCTGGGGTTCGACCCGGTCTGATGGAAGCAGTTGGCGCCGTGCTCCCGCACACGCAGCACCCGAAATCCGTCCTTCTTGAAGACCTCGTTGCCGGTCAGCGGGTCAGAGTGCACCGCTGGCTCAGGCTCCGCCACAAGCTCCTCGCGCGCCATTGAGAATCTGCATGAGCGATGAAGAAGAAGTCAAACACCGCAGCGTAAGAGAGGCTGACATACCTGCGTAACCTTCGGCCGTGCTCATGAACACGTCCTGACCAGTACAGGTCGCTTTTGTGGAGACAGGCCCATGTTGGTGGACGGGCTTGATGGGCTGTGGTGCATCAGAAAAGCCTCGCTAACCACGCCTCGCGCTTTACAGAGAATGATTCAGCACATTCCGAAGCACCGCAACACTTGATGCGCCGGCCGACCTTGCACCAAAGCATGCACCACAAAGCGGGCTCGCACTAGCAAAGAGAGAACGACAAGTCTCCCCCAATCATGGCCTTTAGTATCTAGAACACTGGCTGATGTACACGTATCAGCAATCTACAAAAAGCAGTCGTGGCGACCAATCGTAGCTCGGGAGCTACCATTGCTATCGGTCTGAAATGCTTAGTTCTTGATTGTTAGTTGATGTACACTATGCATTGTCCGATTGATACAGATTTTCGACAGCGAATCACCCAAGAAGCACAAGAGAAGCGGGGGTGACCTGCAGCCCCCATCAAGTTTGTAAGGTTCACCACATTGTAGACCTTCAAGAAGAGCACTTACACAGACGTCTGCGGCGCTTCATCCCGGGCCCGCCGCCTCTGCATCTCGCTCCGCATGGGCGCCAGCGCATCGTCCGGGGTCTCGTCTGCCGCGGATCGAGCTGTCTCTTCCTCCATCTCCATCAGCCGGTACAAATCCAGTGTTCCGGCGTCCGGCTGCGTCGAGTCGTCGATGCCCCGGTCATCCTCGGATGTGGGCTCTTCGTCGGACTCGGTCTCGTCTGACGTTTCTTGAATGTCGACGGAGCCGGCCTCTTCGTCAGACGCCGACGCAACCTCCTGCAGGATATAAGAATCAAGAATGGTTCAAGGATTCGGGTCTTCATTCGGTCATGCTGGCCAGGGGCTGCTCATTGATTTTCATATAAAGTTAACAAAGGCATCTGCGCCCAGGGTGCTTAGCCAAGCAATGAAGACAGAGCCTATGCCTTTGTGTGCACAAACCAGCCCTGGCATGCCCCTCGCACTCTCACCGATCGCGCACACTTCTTCCTGATGGCCACAACACACGATTGCTCACCGCTTCGTCCGGGCTTCCGGTCCGCATCCGAGTACCGGTGGGCGCCGGGGAGCTCTCCCTGCTCGAGGCGGTCCTATTCCGACGTGCGACCTCCTGCATCCGAGCATTGGGGCACGCTCAATTCAGGGCAGGCGTCATCAGTACTTAGGGGGACGCCTCGGCGCTCAAAGGCCATCACAACCATGTGCTTTGACACCAAGTTCACGGGCCATTTTGCTCTTTCCCGCCCCCTGACCGCCGAAGAGAGCGCGATTCTGAAGGCCGTGCACGACTACCGCCCTAAGGATGGCCTGGAGCTACCCTCTGCGGCTCCGGGTCAAGAGAGGCCGGTCAAGATCGAACGGAAGGGGGTCAAGCACAACTACGGTGGGGAGGGATTCCACATCTTCAAGGAATTTCCCTCCTTCGACTGCCGTTGGACTGTCTCACGCGATAAGCGTGCTCTTGTCTGGGACGAAAGGGGCCCCTTCAAGAACTATGTGAGCTGGTT